TGATGGCTTAAAAACAGAACTTCCGAAAGTAAAAAGTTAGAGCTGGGCAGAATTTTTTAATCCATTTTTCTGTATCTAATTCTATGCTTAGAAGTTTCCTCAGAGATTAACTGCTTATTTTTATTCTTCTAATACTTAAATCAGAAGGAGGAAATTTTTAATATCCATTTCCAAATATTCTGGTGAAGAGAGAATCAGGTATTTTTAGTTAGCACAAATTCCTCACATGAATTAAGGGTATTTTATTCCACAAAACTTATAATCAAGGGAATAAGACCTAAGCCCAAGCCTATGGATTTATACAAATCAAATCAATGCTAATGATCAATTTACATGTGATATTATGTAAAGTCAAAATCATGTGAAACAATCTGTGTAAATATCTAACTTTAGTTAAGTGGATCCAGAGGCACAAGGAGCTAAAATCAGCCCATATTCTGCTCATCATGCCCTAATGCCTGGGGCCTGGCCGGCTATGAATACAGGAAGAATGGACTTTTTAAAAAAATAATAAATTGAGCAAAAATACCACATAGGCGGGCTTCCCTGTTGGCGCAGTGGTTGAGAGTCCGCCTGCCAATGCAGGGGACACGGGTTCGTGCCCCGGTCCGGGAAGATCCCACATGCCGCGTAGCGGCTGGGCCCGTAAGCCATGGCCGCTGAGCCTGCGCGTCTGGAGCCTGTGCTCCGCAACGGGAGAGGCCACAACAGTGAGAGGCCTGCATACCGCAAAAAAACCCACAAAAAACAAACAAACAAAAAAACACCACATAGGCAAGTAGCAGCCTTAAAAAGGAACTAGTATAGCTTCAGTGGTCACCAGACTCTGACTTTAAAATTTTGAATAATTTCCTTGACTAGGCTTACAAATATTCAGATTAATGTATCACATTTGCTTCCTGAAACATAACACAAAGAATAAAAGCCTAATTTTAAATTGTCTATGAAACAGACAGCAGTAGCACTTTACCATAACCCTAACATTATCAGATGTTTCCACCATCTCAAAGCTGATTTGAATCAGAATTACCTGTGGGAACTTTTTAAAATCGCATGTTCCCAGGCCCCACCCATTGGATGGTGTGATTCACAGTACGGGTCTGGGGCTTTATAAAGCTCCTGGAGAGAGTGGTGAGCAGGTAGGCTGGGGAGCCACGAAGCAGCTGACTAAGCTGACAAGGACAATGGAGGCAAAAGGTAGTAAATGGTGTCTTCTCACCAAAACAAGACTGTTATGCTAAGGCTACCCTCTTACCTTCTAAACACTGAGAGCACTAATATCACTGATGACCACCATCCAACTGTATATCCAGTAGCATATTTCAAAACCTAAAATGGGTTTGCATGCTTAAATTTATGAAAACTTGAAAAATAAGTGACCAAGAGCTAATTGGGAAAATGACAGATGTGAGAAATACTCAAAAAACACTGATTATGCCTCTTCACTCATGAGGTATCAGAACTCGAGTTCGTAGATATTTTTCAGTAAATGTGCCAAATCTATGTTTTACTTCTTTGGCGATTGGTTCTTTTAACATCCTAAATATATAGGATGCTTCACCGAAACATGACATCTTCTTCCATCAATCATGTGCAGTAAAGTCTCAAATTTGAAGTTCTAAGAATCTAAGCAATCACACGTCTTCCCAGAGAACTGCTCTATAAAGTTAACAGCCTGGATGCCATATAACATCTAAAACTTCTTTTGGAAAGATGGGTGACAGCTTTAGCCAGATTAGTACAGGGACACATTGTTGGATCTATTCATAGATGTACAGTATTGAAGGTGCCTCTTCAAACAGTGACCTGAGAAACATTTAAGTGCTTAAAACACCCATGATCAAAATCGTACATTTTAAATAAAAGCATACATATTTATATTTTACGATATTCCTAGCATTCTGCTACAGTGCCAAGATACAGTCTGTCTAAACTTTAGCTTTTTTTTCTTTCCTAACAAATCGGTATGTACACAAACTTAGAAACCACTACCAACATCTTGAGTATCAATGTTTCAGACTGGGAATACATGGTTCAGTGAAAAAAAAAAAAATGCCAGCATTTGGCTTAGTTTTGATTCCTGTCTCATTAGAAAACACGGGGCGGGGGCACGGGGTCAGTCAAAATATTCTGGCTAGATGCACTGCCATTAAGTAACCTCAGTCGTAGAGGGGCAAAAGTAAGGGAGGAGGGAAACAACTGAAAAAATCCGCAGAAAGCTGCCCCTTGCGATCCATAAAGAACTAAATTACAAGGATTTGCCTACAGCTGGTAAAACGGCTTACTGCTCTCATCTGGTGGCTATGCCGCAGTAAATTCGGTTGTGGGCTAATTAGGTCCAACTTGAAGCCAAGGACCAGGTCCAGAGAAAGATCCGCCTGGTCGGGAGTCGACTCGCTCCAACACCCAAGAAGGAGCCGAGCCACAGGGTTCCAAGTCGGGGCGCAAGCAGCTCACTAGTGACGGGAGGCGCGGTGGGACTGCCGGCTTCCCAGGGGGACCTCAGGGAAACCCTTCCCGACCATCCGTGCAAGCCACAAACTCACACGCTACGATTCCAGCCGCGCAGGGAAGCTAGGCGACCGGGAGGGCCCGGCCGCCGAAATGCCGGGCAGCTCTGTCAAAAGGAGGCTTGAGAGGGGCCTCCCCGCATAGGGCTCTCCCCTAAGGCTGGGGTCGTCAGCTCGCGACCCCTGGGCCATGTCACTTCAGGAAGGAAGTCTGGAAACTAAGTGAGCGGGGCTGCGGAGAGAGAAAGTGGGGAGGCGCCAAGCTGGTCCTCTTGTTTGGGGGCGAAGGAAGGAGTCTGGTGGGGAGCGAACGGAACGCAGTTAATTTATTTTACACTCGAGCCGCCACCGGCCAGAGAGAGCCGGACTCCGCAGGGCGCAGGCTGTGACCCCGACCTCCTCCCGCGCGCGGTCCCCTCCAGGCCCAGTGCGCCGCCCGCCGGACGCGCTCCACTCACCCAGCTCCTCCGCCTGCAGCCAGAGCGGCGCGGAGACAGCGAGCAGCAGGGCCAGGAGGCCGCACCGAGCAGCCCCCGCCTGCGCGCAGCCGCCGCGGGCGCCGGCCACCATGGTCCCGCCGGGCGCCAGCTTGGCAGGCTCGGCTCCCCCCTGGCCCCC